TCAGTGGTAGAGCGGCTGACTGCAGATCAGCAGGTCCTCGGTTTAAATCGGGGCGCGCCCTCCATAGTCAGCCTCTGAACGGTCCTTCTAGTGCAGAAGAGCTACAGAAGATGACCTGGACATCTTCATAGTATCTCGTTTGGGTGTGTAGCTCAGTGGTAGAGCGGCTGACTGCAGATCAGCAGGTCCTCGGTTCAACTCCGGGCGTGCCCTCAACAGCCGGCGTCTGAACGGTTGTTTTAGTGTAGAAATGCTACAGAAGATGAATTTGACATGTTTTCCATGGCTCGCTCGGGTGTGTAGCTCAGTGGTAGAGTGGCTCACTGCAGATCAGCATGTCGTCGGCTCTAATCCGGACGCGCCCTCCATAGTCCGCGTCTGAACGGTCCTTTTAGTGCAGAAGAGCTACAGAAGATGAGCTGGACATCTTCATAGTATCTCGTTCGGGTGTGTAGCTCAGTGGTAGAGCGGCAGGCTGCAGATCAGCAGGTCCTCGGCTCAAATCCGGGCGCGCCCTCAGCAGCCAGCGTCTGAACGGTTCTCTTAGTGTAGAAGAGCTACAGAAGGTGAAAGGGACATCTTCGTAATATCTCGTTCGGGTGTGTAGCTCAGTGGTAGAGCGGCTGACTGCAGATCAGCAGATCCTCGGTTCAAACCGGGTGCGCCCTCAACAGCCAGCGTCTGAACGGTTGTTTTAGTGTAGAAATGCTACAGAAGATGAATTTGACATGTTTTCCATGGCTCGTTCGGGTGTGTAGCTCAGTGGTAGAGCGGCTGACTGCAGATCAGCAGATCCTCGGTTCAAATCCGGGCGCGCCCTCAACAGCCAGCGCCTGAACGGTCCTTTTAGTGTAGAAGAGCTACAGAAGGTGAAAGGGACATCTTCGTAATGTCTCGTTCGGGTGTGTAGCTCAGTGGTAGAGCGGCTGACTGCAGATCAGCAGGTCCTCGGTTCAAACCCGGGCGCGCCCTCAACAGCCGGCGTCTGAACGGTTGTTTTAGTGTAGAAATGCTACAGAAGATGAATTTGACATGTTTTCCATGGCTCGTTCGGGTGTGTAGCTCAGTGGTAGAGCGGCTCACTGCAGATCAGCATGTCGTCGGCTCTAATCCGGACGCGCCCTCCATAGTCCGCGTCTGAACGGTCCTTTTAGTGTAGAAGAGCTACAGAAGATGAAAGGACATCTTCGTAATGTCTCGTTCGGGTGTGTAGCTCAAAGATAGAGCGGCTGACTGCAGATCAGCAGGTCCCCAGTTCAAATCCGGGCGCGCCCTCAACAGTCAGCGTGTGAACGGTTGTTTTGGTGTAGAAGAGCTACAGAAGATGAATTTGACTTGTTTTTCATGGATCGTTCGGGTGTGTAGCTCAGTGGTAGAGCGCCTGACTGCAGATCAGCAGGTCCTCGATTCAGATCCGGACGCGCCCTCCATAGTCAGCCTCTGAACGGTTGTTACCGTGTAGAAGAGCTACAGAAGATCAATTTGACATGTTTTCCGTTTCTCGTTCGGGTGTGTAGCTCAGTGGTAGAGCGGCTGACTGCAGATCAGCAGGTCCTCGGTTCAAACCCGGGCGCGCCATCCATTGTCAGCGTGTGAACGGTCCTTTTAGTGTAGAAGAGCTACAGAAGATGAAAGGGACATCTTCGTTATGTCTCGTTCGGGTGTGTAGCTCAGTGGTACAGCGGCTGACTGCAGATCAGCAGGTCCTCGGTTCAAATCCGGGCGCGTCCTTCATTGTCAGCGTCTGAACGGTCCTTTCAGTGTAGAAGTGCTACAGAAGATGAAAGGGACATCTTCGTGATGTCTCGTTTGGGTGTGTAGCTCAGTGGTAGAGCGGCTGACTACATATCAGCAGGTCCTTAGTTCAAATCCGGGCGCGTCCTCAACAGCCGGCGTCTGAACGGTTGTTTTCGTGTAGAAGAGCTACAGAAGATCAACTGGACATCTTCATAACTTCTCGTTTGGGTGTGTAGCTCAGTGGTAGAGCGGCTGACTGCATGTCACCAGAATCTCTGTTCAAATCCGGGCGCGCCCTCCATAGTCAGCCTCTGAAACGGTTGTTACCGTGTAGAAGAGCTACAGAAGATGAATTTGACATGTTTTCCGTGTCTCGTTCGGGTGTGTAGCTCAGTGGTAGAGCGGTTGACTGCAGATTAGTAGGTCCTCGGTTCAAATCGGGGAGCGCCCTCGATAGTCAGCGAGTACAAGGTTGTTTTAGTGTAGAGGAGCTACAGAGGATGAATTTGACATGTTTTTCGTGCCTCGTTCGGGTGTGTAGCTCAGTGGTAGAGCGGCTGACTGCAGATCAGCAGGTACTCGGTTCATATCCGGGCACGCCCTCCATAGTCAGCGTTTTGAACGGTTGTTTTTGTGTAGAAGAGCTACAGAAGATCAATTTGACTTGTTTTTCGTGGATCGTTCGGGTGTGTAGCTCAGTGGTAGAGCGGCTGACTGCAGATTAGCCGGTCCTCGATTCAGATCCGGGCGCGCCCTCCATAGTCAGCCTCTGAACGGTTGTTACCGTGTAGAAGAGCTACAAAAGATGAATTTGACATGTTTCCCGTGTCTCGTTCGGGTGTGTAGCTCAGTGGTAGAGCGGCTGACTGCAGATCAGCAGGTCCTCGGTTCAAATCCGGGCGCGCCCTCAACAGCCGGCGTCTGAACGGTTGTTTTAGTGTAGAAATGCTACAGAAGATGAATTTGACATGTTTTCCATGGCTCGTTCGGGTGTGTAGCTCAGTGGTAGAGCGGCTTACTGCAGATCAGCAGGTCCTCGGTTCAAATCCGGGCGCGTCCTCCATTGTCAGCGTCTGAACGGTCCTTTCAGTGTAGAAGTGCTACAGAAGATGAAAGGGACATCTTCGTGATGTCTCGTTTGGGTGTGTAGCTCAGTGGTAGAGCGGCTGACTACATATCAGCAGGTCCTTAGTTCAAATCCGGGCGCGTCCTCAACAGCCGGCGTCTGAACGGTTGTTTTCGTGTAGAAGAGCTACAGAAGATCAACTGGACATCTTCATAACTTCTCGTTTGGGTGTGTAGCTCAGTGGTAGAGCGGCTGACTGCATGTCACCAGAATCTCTGTTCAAATCCGGGCGCGCCCTCCATAGTCAGCCTCTGAAACGGTTGTTACCGTGTAGAAGAGCTACAGAAGATGAATTTGACATGTTTTCCGTGTCTCGTTCGGGTGTGTAGCTCAGTGGTAGAGCGGTTGACTGCAGATTAGTAGGTCCTCGGTTCAAATCGGGGAGCGCCCCTCGATAGTCAGCGAGTACAAGGTTGTTTTTAGTGTAGAGGAGCTACAGAGGATGAATTTGACATGTTTTTTTCGTGCCTCGTTCGGGTGTGTAGCTCAGTGGTAGAGCGGCTGACTGCAGATCAGCAGGTACTCGGTTCATATCCGGGCACGCCCTCCATAGTCAGCGTTTTGAACGGTTGTTTTTGTGTAGAAGAGCTACAGAAGATCAATTTGACTTGTTTTTCGTGGATCGTTCGGGTGTGTAGCTCAGTGGTAGAGCGGCTGACTGCAGATTAGCCGGTCCTCGATTCAGATCCGGGCGCGCCCTCCATAGTCAGCCTCTGAACGGTTGTTACCGTGTAGAAAAGCTACAAAAGATGAATTTGACATGTTTCCCGAGTCTCGTTCGGGTGTGTAGCTCAGTGGTAGAGCGGCTGACTGCAGATTAGCAGGCCCTCGGTTCAAATCCGGGCGCGCGCTGAACAATCTGCGTGTGAACGGTTGTTTTAGTGCAGAAGAGCTACAGAAGATGAACTGGACATCTTCATAGTACCTCGTTCGGGTGTGTAGCTCAGTGGTAGAGCGGCTGACTGCAGATCAGCAGGTCCTCGGTTCTAATTCGGGCGCACCCTCAACATTCAGCGTCTGAACGGTCCTTTTAGTGTAGAAGAGCTACAGAAGATGAAAGGGACATCTTCGTTATGTCTCGTTCGGGTGTGTAGCTCAGTGGTAGAGCGGCTGACTGCAGATCAGCAAGTCCCCAGTTCAAATCCGGGCGCGCCCTCAACAGTCAGCGTGTGAACGGTTGTTTTGGTGTAGAAGAGCTACAGAAGATCAACTGGACATCTTCATAACTTCTCGTTTGGGTGTGTAGCTCAGTGGTAGAGCGGCTGTCTGCATGTCAGCAGAATCTCTGTTCAAATCCGGGCGCGCCCTCCATAGTCAGCCTCTGAACGGTTGTTACCGTGTAGAAGAGCTACAGAAGATGAATTTGACATGTTTTCCCTGTCTCGTTCGGGTGTGTAGCTCAGTGGTAGAGCGGTTGACTGCAGATTAGTAGGTCCTCGGTTCAAATCGGGGAGCGCCCTCGATAGTCAGCGAGTACAAGGTTGTTTTAGTGTAGAGGAGCTACAGAGGATGAATTTGACATGTTTTTCGTGCCTCGTTCGGGTGTGTAGCTCAGTGGTAGAGCGGCTGACTGCAGATTAGCAGGTACTCGGTTCATATCCGGGCACGCCCTCCATAGTCAGCGTTTTGAACGGTTGTTTTTGTGTAGAAGAGCTACAGAAGATCAATTTGACTTGTTTTTCGTGGATCGTTCGGGTGTGTAGCTCAGTGGTAGAGCGGCTGACTGCAGATTAGCCGGTCCTCGATTCAGATCCGGGCGCGCCCTCCATAGTCAGCCTCTGAACGGTTGTTACCGTGTAGAAAAGCTACAAAAGATGAATTTGACATGTTTCCCGAGTCTCGTTCGGGTGTGTAGCTCAGTGGTAGAGCGGCTGACTGCAGATTAGCAGGCCCTCGGTTCAAATCCGGGCGCGCGCTGAACAATCTGCGTGTGAACGGTTGTTTTAGTGCAGAAGAGCTACAGAAGATGAACTGGACATCTTCATAGTACCTCGTTCGGGTGTGTAGCTCAGTGGTAGAGCGGCTGACTGCAGATCAGCAGGTCCTCGGTTCTAATTCGGGCGCACCCTCAACATTCAGCGTCTGAACGGTCCTTTTAGTGTAGAAGAGCTACAGAAGATGAGTTTGACATGTTTTTCATTGCTCGTTCGGGTGTGTAGCTCCGTGGTAGAGCGGCTGACTGCAGATTAGCAGATCCTCGGTTCAAATCGGGGCCCGCCCTCCATAGTCAGCCAGTGCTACAGAAGATGAATTTGACATGTTTTCCATGGCTCGTTCGGGTATGTAGCTCAGTGGTAGAGTGGCTCACTGCAGATCAGCATGTCGTCGGCTCAAATCCGGGCGCACCCTCAACAGCCAGCGTCTGAACGGTCCTTTTAGTGTAGAAGAGCTACAGAAGATGAGTTTGACATGTTTTTCATTGCTCGTTCGGGTGTGTAGCTCCGTGGTAGAGCGGCTGACTGCAGATTAGCAGATCCTCGGTTCAAATCGGGGCCCGCCCTCCATAGTCAGCGAGTACACGGTTGTTTTAGTGTAGAAATGCTACAGAAGATGAATTTGACATGTTTTCCATGGCTCGTTCGGGTGTGTAGCTCAGTGGTAGAGTGGCTCACTGCAGATCAGCATGTCGTCGGCTCTAATCCGGACGCGCCCTCCATAGTCCGCGTCTGAACGGTCCTTTTAGTGTAGAAGAGCTACAGAAGATGAAAGGGACATCTTCGTAATGTCTCGTTCGGGTGTGTAGCTCAGTGATAGAGCGGCTGACTGCAGATCAGCAGGTCCCCAGTTCAAATCCGGGCGCGCCCTCAACAGTCAGCGTGTGAACGGTTGTTTTGGTGTAGAAGAGCTACAGAAGATCAACTGGACATCTTCATAACTTCTCGTTTGGGTGTGTAGCTCAGTGGTAGAGCGGCTGTCTGCATGTCAGCAGAATCTCTGTTCAAATCCGGGCGCGCCCTCCATAGTCAGCCTCTGAACGGTTGTTACCGTGTAGAAGAGCTACAGAAGATGAATTTGACATGTTTTCCGTGTCTCGTTCGGGTGTGTAGCTCAGTGGTAGAGCGGTTGACTGCAGATTAGTAGGTCCTCGGTTCAAATCGGGGAGCGCCCTCGATAGTCAGCGTGTACAAGGTTGTTTTAGTGTAGAGGAGCTACAGAGGATGAATTTGACATGTTTTTCGTGCCTCGTTCGGGTGTGTAGCTCAGTGGTAGAGCGGCTGACTGCAGATCAGCAGGCCCTCGGTTCAAATCCGGGCGCGCGCTGAACAATCTGCGTGTGAACGGTTGTTTTAGTGCAGAAGAGCTACAGAAGATGAACTGGACATCTTCATAGTACCTCGTTCGGGTGTGTAGCTCAGTGGTAGAGCGGCTGACTGCAGATCAACAGGTCCTCAGTTCTAATTCGGGCGCACCCTCAACGTTCAGCGTCTGAACGGTCCTTTTAGTGTAGAAGAGCTACAGAAGATGAGTTTGACATGTTTTTCATTGCTCGTTCGGGTGTGTAGCTCCGTGGTAGAGCGGCTGACTGCAGATTAGCAGATCCTCGGTTCAAATCGGGGCGCGCCCTCCATAGTCAGCGAGTACACGGTCCTTTTAGTGTAGAAGAGCTACAGAAGATGAGTTTGACATGTTTTTCATTGCTCGTTCGGGTGTGTAGCTCAGTGGTAGAGCGGCTCACTGCAGATCAGCATGTCGTCGGCTCTAATCCGGACGCGCCCTCCATAGTCCGCGTCTGAACGGTCCTTTTAGTGTAGAAGAGCTACAGAAGATGAAAGGGACATCTTCGTAATGTCTCGTTCGGGTGTGTAGCTCAGTGATAGAGCGGCTGACTGCAGATCAGCAGGTCCCCAGTTCAAATCCGGGCGCGCCCTCAACAGTCAGCGTGTGAACGGTTGTTTTGGTGTAGAAGAGCTACAGAAGATCAACTGGACATCTTCATAACTTCTCGTTTGGGTGTGTAGCTCAGTGGTAGAGCGGCTGACTGCATGTCAGCAGAATCTCTGTTCAAATCCGGGCGCGCCCTCCATAGTCAGCCTCTGAACGGTTGTTACCGTGTAGAAGAGCTACAGAAGATGAATTTGACATGTTTTCCGTGTCTCGTTCGGGTGTGTAGCTCAGTGGTAGAGCGGTTGACTGCAGATTAGTAGGTCCTCGGTTCAAATCGGGGAGCGCCC